CTCTCTCTTTCTCTCTCTCACACTCTCTCTCTCTCTCTCTCTCTCTCTCTCTCTCTCTCTCTCTCTCTCTCTCTATATATATATATATATATATATATATATATATATATATATGTATATATATATATATAAATAAATGTATATAATCAGTTGACCCAATATTACCATAGATGTAGTAGATAGTAAATCTTCTATTATCCCATTTGTTTTGTTCTACTAAATATATGTAGTTTACCCCATTGTACAATGTCTGTTTATTTTTCATCCTCTTCTATCCTATCCCATATTACCAGGTCTTTTTTTTTATTTTACTTCTCAGCCACGGCTTACCCATAATGCCAGACCTTTTTATTTTACTTCTCAGTTAGTTTACCCCATATTACCCAATCTTTTAATTTTACTTCTCAACTAGCTTACCCATAATGCCAGATTTCTTTTATTTTACTTTTCAGCTAGTTTACCCCATATTACTACGTCTTTTTCTTTAAATTTGTTTTACTCCTCAGCTAGTTTATCCAATAGCACCATGAATAAAAAAGAAGGTGTCTTCCTACTGGCCATTCTTGCTGTGGGTCTATCAGTTTTCGTGATCTACAGGAAACAGATGAATTGTATAAACGTAAAAAAACCCACAAAAAACAATAACCAAAATAAAAAAAAAAACAACAACAACCAAAAAACAAAATCAAAATAAACAAACAACCAAACAAACAAATACAAACTTTGCAATGAATCCCTTTTATTTTATTTCGGGTCTCCCAGGGGGGTGGGTGGGGTGGAGTTTGGAATTTAACATTGAACGAATTTGACTTGCATTATTTTGACCCCTAACCCTTGAGGAGAGATTTATGAACAGTCGCGCAGGGCAGTGAGAAGACAAAGAAAGCTGCAACAGACTATAATAAATAAACTATGATCCAGATAGTTCTGAATTAACTGACTTGTTTAACCCTCACCTAACAACGCAATGAATCGTAACAAAAGTTTCCGTTTGGATGCACCCTAAACCCCTTTTCCCTGCAGGCCTCTATTCATACGACACTGGTAGTTGTGTAGCTAATTTTAACTTAAAACTGCACAGGCATTTTGAATGTTATGCATATACAATTCCATAGGGGGGAAAAAACAACACAAGGCAATTTTTGTTCGTGTTACATTTAGATGTTTCTTCTCCATTTCAGTGTCTTTCATCAAACATTTTAAGGCAAGATGTCCAAATGAAGGACGCTAAGTCATCAACAATAACGTTTTTAGCAAAAGAGCTGAAGAAGAAATTGTCGCTGGCCAACGTGACGGCGAATGTCGACAACATCACGACATTATGTCGAACTCTCAAAGTCCAGTATGAGGACAAATGTAACCAGACGGACGTGGACGACAACTGCACGCAGAGGCAGCTGCCGGAAAACTTGGAGACCAGGATAGAACAACTCGTGTTCAGAAAAAATCTGATGATTTCCCCTTACTACCGTGACGTCATCAGATCCATGAGCAGCACCATCACGAGATCGTATGACCTCATCATTGTGAGCGCACTGTCGTCGAATCACTACAGCGAGACGCAGGTAAGTGGTAAGAGGAGGAACGAAGTCCCTGGGCCTGGGGGGATTTTTTTCTTTTGAACTAAAAGGCCGTAGCTCCACACAGCAAATTGCGTCCCTCCACACACTTGGCTACCCCATGGGATGATACAGATTGGCACCAGTTGCGTCGTAGGAGTTGTATTAATGTATCCTGCCTACGGGACCCCTTCTTCGGGTTCAGATTCAGAGTTTCCTGCACTTAGATGAGTTAAGATTTACGGGTCCCATCCACCCGGGGGCTGGAGATAATTTTTGTGTGTTTGTTACAAACCTATTCTTACTTAATAGGTTCGTTGGCTTCATTGTCTAGGGGGGGTTTAATTATATACACTTCACAACTATAATTCTTAGATGAAATATATTTATTAATCAACAAATTCTTCTACCGCCGTTACTGTAAATCAAAGAACAACACTCCACACCCAAATCTACAATAATAATGCATCATATCCCTTTCCACACAATACGTCACAAGATACTAAGAATAATAGATAAAACAACACACATAATCTCAAACCAACACGCAATCACACTATACACTCAAGTCCCTAACACTTAACTTGGTCTTTGGTGGAGATTGTTCAGCTTACACCACTCGACCATCCAGTCACCAGTGTCTGTTCACCTATCCACGCTTTATATCATTTAATCGTGTCAAAGTGGCAACGATTTTTTCCCCACATTTTCCCTGACTTTGGTTCAAAATGTATATAGCATTGCGATTTTTTAAATTATTATCTTACTTTGTTACACTTTTTGCAGACCGACGTTTGGCGGCATGGTGCTCGATACAGCCCCCCTTGTCCAATCAACAGGTCCTCGTGCGGCCCCCATGCTGCTTTGAGTTTGAGATCACTGTTTTATAGTTATTTTTCAACAAAATTGTATGTCTTTCTTATGAAGCAACACTGCCCTTACAAGATAACTCGTGCACAAAATGCGCGTTCGATAATGTACGTATTTTTTTTTAAAAAAGGACAAATCCGACGAAAGAAATTCAGAAATGGACCTAGTGATTTTCTTTTCACTGAAAACAAATCAGAAGGTACATCCACTACCAGAACCCCATTACGTGGTCTTGAAGTTACTCTGAATCTAACGCAGTGCCACGTGAATCGAAACGTCCTTTTGGCAAACATGACGAACAAATGCTAAAAAAATTTGTTTACATTTTTTTTTTTTAAAAGGGCAATCGAATTAAAATGCATCATAGCTCAGGATGGCATAAACTTATTTTCGCCCAGAACTATAACGCCTAATAACTGATTTCATGCATCATGAAATGTTCAACTGAGAGGATCGTAGCATTTAAAGGTTAAGATTATGTTTGAAAAGCAAATTGCGGATCGAACCCGCTCTCGAATTACCGCCACAAAGTCAATTTCAACTTAGCCACCCCATCTTAACAACTGCCATTAAAAAGGTATAGAGATTCTATTTTTCAAGATATCTTTTCAGATTGAATTACATTTTCTTTGGGTATTTTTTTTAAGCGGCATAGGAAAGGGGAGGGGGTGATAGGGTCAGCCCCGGGCTGCACTTATTTATTTATTGGGGTGGGTGGGTGGGCGGGGAGGTTGTCAAATGCAGTTTTTCGATGGTGACAAAAAAGTCTTGTGCCTCCCAGGCGTCATCAACCCTAGCTACGCCACTGTGGTTTTGTATGATATGTTTTAAAATTAGCTATTTATTTTCAAGCAAACAATTTTCGAATTCCGTCCAGGATTTTGTAATTAATGAAAAACGACAACTGTTTAATTACTCCTACGATGTGTTCAAATCCTAGTTTGATTTGTTGTTAACCTACCGACTCATGCAACAGGCGATGCTGAAGAACCTTCACCAAAAAGTGTTCCATTGTCTCACCAACTTTTCGCTCGTTCTGTTCGACATCGGACTGACCCCAGGGGAGAGGAGCGAACTGGAAAAATACTGCAGGTTATTTTTTAAAATTAATAATAAATATTGGATATAACACCTACAATTACTGATGTGTAGAGCAACTACATTTGTTTATAAAAAAATATAATCATCATTGCCGTTAGATCTGCATTTATATAGTAGACACGCTTTCCAAAAGGAACAGTTGAGACGATAACATCTGACACTTTTGTGTCCATTGCCTCAGGCCTTCCAACCTCCAGTTCCTGGTATCATCGTAGAGTAGCATTTGAAACCAGTGAAGAATCCTCTTCAAAACCATGCACAGAAACATCGCGAACCCCCTCTATAAGCTTAGGAGCCAGAATGACCAATACCTTGACCGTGGACCCTCAAAATACAGAATTAGAAGATAACAACTTAATCACTAAAAATAACAATTATAGTAATTAGCGTGTATAAAACCACTTTCATTATAATTTAAAAGAACATCGTTCATTATACACACACGATAATCATAGCAGGCCCTATTTAGTTTCAAAATCCTATCTAATGAAGATATATATATATATTTTTTTTTCAAATATGCATACATTCTATAATCTATATTTGAAGAGCACATTAATCATATATTCTATATTTCAGGTGCACTGTCATCACGTTTCCTTTCCACCTCTTCCCTCCCCACTTTAGAACGATGAAATGTTTTGCCTGGAAACCTCCAATAGTCAGATCCATGATTGATAAAGCGAATGTTGTTATTTGGCAAGACGCCTCCATAAGGTAGGAAGTACTGTGTGTGGTTGATAAAATGATTAATTTCAATAACGTCCTTTGGCTCTACGACTTTGTAAGGCAAGTTAAATGAAAATCAGGGATTTCTCAAAGCATTAACAGAACAAATATATGCTTTAAAAAAAAAACGGCTTATGTATACAATTTTAGTTCCATAGCTCATCATAAAATGGGGGAATTTTTAGTTTCAAGATTTTTGGTGAATGAATAGTTAATCATGAAAACTAATTAAACGATTTAAAAAAGAAAGGCCATTAGAGCAAAATTAAAATTTTAGGAAGGTTTTCGCAGCAAACAGAGTGTATATAAAGATAAACCTAGCTGATGTTGTTAATGATGTGTTTGTGTTTGTGGACGCGTGATTTGGTGCTGAGAGTGTTTGTGTAGCTGTTGTTATGTGCTTCGTATTTTGTGACGTATTGATGTATGGGATATGACGTTGTTGGATGTTAATGATTTGGGAGTGGTAATGGAGTTGCAAACAGAAAGCGGATGAAAGAATACACTCTGTTCTTTATGTTAAACAATTCATTGAATAAATACCCCTAGACGCAACGAAGCCATTGGACTTCTTCTCCCCTATTCACAGTTTGTAACAGACGGCAGTCGTCGTAAACAGAAATATGCTTCATTTCTGTTAGCAGGCCTTCCCGTCTATTTCGTTGAAACAGGTACACCCAGCCTGACGTCATTCCCGTCATGATGAGACGAACCATTGAGTGTGGAGTGCAGCAACGTTACTACATGGGTGAAATAGCCAATCCCTATTATACACTTCCTCAGGTTAGTTGTATCAGTGTATCTGGCCATTGTACACGACCAATGTACCTGGTCTGTGTACCTGGCCAGGGAATCTGGTTGGAAAAAACTAGTAAGTTTAGCTGGAAAAATTCCTGGTCAGTGTTGCTAGTCCATTAATTAAAAAAAAAATGTTTGATCCATTCATGACATTTCAAATGTAAGATCGTACGTTTCCAGATGTGTGTTACGTGTGTCATCGTACGTTTCCAGATGTGTGTTACATGTGTCATCGTACCTTTCCAGATGTGTGTAGCATGTATCATCGTACATTTCCAGATGTGTGTAACGTGTATCATTGTACCTTTCAAGATGTGTGTAACATGTATCATCGTACCTTTCCAGATGTGTGCAACATGTATCATCGTACCTTTCCAGATGTGTGTAACATGTATCATCGTACCTTTCCAGATGTGTGTAACATGTATCATCGTACCTTTCCAGATGTTTGAATATTTTGGTGACTCCCCATGTGCACACATGGCATTCGGACAATGCGAGGCAACGTTTGGCATGTACCACAGGTAGGTCAAAGCTCAAATCTATCTATCCATCCATCCATGCATCAATCCATCCATCCATCCCACCCACCCATCCATCCATCCATCCATCCATCAATCCATCCATCCATCCATCCATCCATCCATCCATCCATCCATCCATCCATCCATCCATCCATCAATCCATCCATCTATCCATCCATCCATCCATCCATCCATCCATCCATATCTATCTATCTATCTATCTATCTATCCATCCATCCATCCATCCATCCATCCATCCATCCATCCATCCATCCATCCATCCATCCATCCATCCATCCATCCATCCATCCATCCATCCATCCATCCATCCATCCATCCATCCATCCATCCATCCATCCATCCATCCATCCATCCATCCATCCATCCATCCATCCATCCATCCATCCATCCATCCATCCATCCATCCATCCATCCATCCATCCATCCATCCATCCATCCATCCATCCATCCATCCATCCATCCATCCATCCATCCATCCATCCATCCATCCATCCATCCATCCATCCATCCATCCATCCATCCATCCATCCATCCATCCATCCATCCATCCATCCATCCATCCATCCATCCATCCATCCATCCATCCATCCATCCATCCATCCATCCATCCATCCATCCATCCATCCATCCATCCATCCATCCATCCATCCATCCATCCATCCATCCATCCATCCATCCATCCATCCATCCATCCATCCATCCATCCATCCATCCATCCATCCATCCATCCATCCATCCATCCATCCATCCATCCATCCATCCATCCATCCATCCATCCATCCATCCATCCATCCATCCATCCATCCATCCATCCATCCATCCATCCATCCATCCATCCATCCATCCATCCATCCATCCATCCATCCATCCATCCATCCATCCATCCATCCATCCATCCATCCATCCATCCATCCATCCATCCATCCATCCATCCATCCATCCATCCATCCATCCATCCATCCATCCATCCATCCATCCATCCATCCATCCATCCATCCATCCATCCATCCATCCATCCATCCATCCATCCATCCATCCATCCATCCATCCATCCATCCATCCATCCATCCATCCATCCATCCATCCATCCATCCATCCATCCATCCATCCATCCATCCATCCATCCATCCATCCATCCATCCATCCATCCATCCATCCATCCATCCATCCATCCATCCATCCATCCATCCATCCATCCATCTATCTATCTATCTATCTATCTATCTATCTATCTATCTATCTATCTATCTATCTATCTATCTATCTAATCCATCCATTCATCTATCTAATCCATCCATTCATCTATCTATTCCATCCATTCATCTATCTATTCCATCCATCCATCTATCTAATCCATCCATCCATCCATCTCCATCCATCCATCCATCCATCTCCATCCATCCATCCGTCCATCGATCCATCCATCCATCCGTCCATCCATCCATCCATCCATCCATCCATCATCCATCCATCCATCTAGCTATCTAGCTATCTAGCTTTTACATCGGTCAAGAAATAAACAAACAAAAGCTAGTGCAAAAAAACAAAACAACAACAAGGAACAATTCAAATGGACCATCTCTACGTATTTACATGAGTTAACCCAAAAGTTAACGAGTCAATATATCTAATGTGAAGTTTTATTATGTTTTTACTTTCAGAGAACCACTTGTAGTACAGGCCGTCCTTGACCCTTGGCTCGGGTGCGCACTCAGTCCTGTATGCACGTGCCCGGCGAACCAGAGTCAGTATCAAGACTGTCATAAATTTTCACTGGACCCCACCAAACTCGGACACTGCATGAGGAACGACCAGTCGTCCATAACGGTCATCCTCGCCAAGCTGTTCCGAGAGAAATTCCACCATTTTGTTGTCAACGTCGAATGGTTCCAGGATATCTTGAGAGGAGAGCAGTCGATGTACTTCTCAACTTTGAACTAAGACAACAACAACAACAACAAAAACAAACAAAAAACAAAACTTCACAAAAATTAAAACACAAACATCTCAGAATTTTTTCAATTCACCGGTCTATGTATTTATGAACAAAATAAGTCAGATGTGGTGTTATAAATATTTGTCCTCAAATAAAAATGCATTATCACATATGTAATATATCTTGAAACATTCACAATTGATTGAGACTTATCCTTCCTAAAATTTAGTATCATAACAATTAAATATAAGAATGAAATGTACGGCGTTTAACAGAAGTGTTTAATAGTTGAAATGAACTTCAAAGTCCCTTTAATGCATTTATTTAAAAAAAAACTTTAATTTAGCATTTTGCAGTGTGTGTAGCCTGGGCTATTTAACAACCCAACAACTTAGACACCTATTGGGCTGTGCATCTATGATTAAGAGATTCTTGTAGGATCTGATTATTAATCTTTAGATAATTAATTTTTTGTTTTTATCTTTTGTTCAGTCGGACTACGTATATCTCCATATTCATACATTCATCATCGTTGCTATCCGCCCGTCTCCGAGTGTCGACTGAGTAGCCAACTATTTCACCTTATCGATTTTTTAGAATTTTATTCAAACTAGATTTTAACCGGGTGTCTACACCCGGGTCCGTGTATTTTGAGAAAACTGCCGGTGAGTTCAAATGTTAAGGAAGGGAGTTAAATTCTCATTTTCTACCGTATGTGACGGCCCTTTAAACGAGTGGCCTACAGACAGTCCCGCAGCCTACTTGCGGGCCTTAAAGAATAGGCCCAGAGACAGTCCTACAAACTACCTGCCGGCCTTTCAACAATAGACCTACAGAAAGCCATGTACCCTACCTGCCGGCCTTGAAATAATAGTCCTACAGAGAGTCCTCCAGCCTACCTGCCAGCCTTTCAACAATAGACTTACAGACATCCCTCCACCCTACCTGCCCGCCTTTAAATAATAGTCCTACAGACAGTCCTACGGATAGACCTACAGACAGTCCTACACAATATCCGTGTCTCTTTCTTGATTAATATAATAGTCGCCTACCCAAAAATAAAAAATAAAAAAAAACCAGCATTTTTTCCACAGAACTATTAATATAAAACATGTGGAGGTGGGCGAGCAGCTGGTTTCGAAGAGGAAGCAGGACACACCAGAAGCCATCAGAACAGCGCCTACAGAGAACACAAAAACAAGCCAAAAACGTCTGGGTTAATTCTGAACCTGGTGATGTCTCAACAATTATATCTACCCCTATATCTATATAAATATCTATCTATATTCTAGAAAATTACACTCGCGGTGCATTTGGGGTGGAGCTATTGATTACAAATACTGCAAATATGGGTTTAATTTAAGTAGTGTGATACATGAAATGTCGATACATTTTTTTTTTCGATGTTGTCTCAATTAAATTTAGTCCGTTATCGGCCATAAAATCAAACGAAAGAAAGACAACGAAAGTAAAAAGTCATGTGAAATAAATAGCTTCAATGAAGCATGTTTGTGTGCATTTACAATGTTGACAGTTTTCCCGTTGGGCGTGAGCAGATATTTTGATTGACCACCCAGGCGCAAACACAATCCATTCAACCACTGTTCTAATATTACCTTTACGACAAGTTTCGTACGACGTTATTTTCGTCCCACATTCTAGTTTCGGTAACTCACTTTCGACTGCTTCATGGAAAAGTTGATTAAACTCGTGTGTTACACAGTCGACCAAAGACTGCCAATCTGAATCTTGTCTCATTTCAAAGCAGATAGGCGAGGCTCATAGTCGTTACTTACGCTGTTAGACAAGGCTCATAGTCGTTACTTACGCTGTCAGTCAAGGCTCATAGTCGTTACTTACGCTGTTAGACTAGGCTCATAGTCGTTACTTACGCTGTTAGACAAGGCTCATAGTCGTTACTTACGCTGTTAGACAAGGCTCATAGTCGTTACTTACGCTGTTAGACAAGGCTCATAGTCGTTACTTACGCTGTCAGTCAAGGCTCATAGTCGCTACTTACGCTGTTAGATAAGGCTCACAGTCGTTACTTACGTTGTTAGACAAGGCTCACAGTCGTTACTTACGTTGTCAGACAAGGCTCATAGTCGTTACTTAAGCTGTTTGACAGTCAGCCATTGCATGCCTGAGGTTGAATGGATTGTCTTCGTGTCAGTCAGGATGCTGTATCGTTTGATCTAGATTAAAATAGAAATCCACTTTGCTGTGACGGGGAGATAGATTGTAATTTAAGAAATCCTGGGGCAGATGTGTACCGTGTGGGTGAGTGGGGGAATATTGAAGTAATGTCAGACGAGAGATTAGGTTTTAAATACATTTTAAAAAAAAAGTTATATTATCTTGAATGCAGTTTTTAAAATTTAAAAAAGCAAAAAAAAAAAAAAAAAAAAAAAAAAAAAAAAAAAAAAAAAAAAAAAAAAAAAAAAAATTTATCTCTTTACAAGAAATAATGTATACTTTTTTTTTAAAATGGAGCATCGTAAAAGAACCACCCTGTCCAAGAATCACCCTGTCAAGAATCACCCTGTCAAGAATCACCCTGTCAAGAATCACCCTGTCCATTAATCACCCTGTCCAAGAATCACCCTGTCCAAGAATCACCCTGTCCATGAATCACCCTGTCCAAGAATCACCCTGTCCAAGAATCACCCTGTCCAAGAATCACCCTGTCCATGAATCACCCTGTCCATGAATCACCCTGTCCAAGAATAACCCTGTCCAAAAATCACCCTGTCCAAGCATCACCGTATCCAAGAATCACCCTATCCAAGAATCACCGTATCCAAGAATCACCCTACCCTGTCCAAAAATCACCCTGTCCATGAATCACCCTGTCCATGAATCACCCTGTCCAAGAATAACCCTGTCCAAAAATCACCCTGTCCAAGAATCACCGTATCCAAGAATCACCCTGTCCAAGAATCACCGTATCCAAGAATCACCCTGTCCATGAATCACCCTGTCCATGAATCACCCTGTCCATGAATCACCCTGTCCATGAATCACCCTGTCCAAGAATCACCCTGTCCATGCAGCTGTAAGCGTCAAAGGTAAGCTCTTTTATACCAAATATCAGCTTTGTCATAAAAGATCAGCTGCGTCATCATATATCAGTTGTGTTAACAAAGTTTATCTGTGCTACCACATAGCAGACTTGCTACAAGATGTCAGCTATGTTAAACCATAAGGTCAACCTAACGGTAGCATTGCATTAAAGGTTGTTTAAAGGTTAAAAAAATTAATCACATACGTTCTTGTGGAATACAACAAAAGCTGTGTCGAATACACAAAAACTGTGTCGAAAACAACAAAAGCTGTGTAGAATAAAACAAAATCTCTGACGAATTCAACAAATGCTTTCATGCAAAAAAAATATTTAAAAAATGTCAATGATTACGTCACATTCACACGTAAATAGTACCTATAATTAAGTGGTTGACCACTTCTTTCCCCTCCCCCGTGGTTTACCATCGACGCCCTACGCCTTCGCCCAGCACGCAGTGCGTACGTGGGATTCCGCTTGCCTCCTACAGGCCTTACAAAACATCTTCCTACAACAATAGTAGAACAGATATAAAAATCAACTGTAGTTAACACACTTCAAACCACTGGCAACTCTGGTGTCAACATATGTAGTTTGACTGTGACGTACTTAAACTGATCATTTGATTCGGAAAAAAAAAATAACCTAGAATTGTTGCTTTTTTAAAAAAAAAATTGTTTCATTTCAAAATTCATTACGGTATTTCCTGAAATAAACACGCCTTGGATACTTTTGAACCAATCTAAATAAACTTTTAAGTGGTCATTTGTATTCTAAGTTGTGATATCGTAGTCAAATTTAATAGAGTATTTTTTAAAAGAATATGATGCTTTTTAAAAAAAAAACTATAATGTTATCTCTAAACTGACGATGTACTAATGAATTTATTATTTTACATGTTTTTCTTTATTTTCAGATAAAAGATATTTCCATAATCATTTAAATCAGGGAATTTCAAAATGGGGGTGAGTATAGCTGAGATCACTTGGCAAACACACACAAAAAAACAACAACAACATATTATCTTTGGCATTGAAGATTGTTAATGTTAGTGAAGATAAAAAAACCCCCTCAAAACAATGAAGCTATCAATGTTGTTTTTTTTGTTGTTGCTTTATGTGACTTACTAGCTGAAACACCCGTGCATAATTACGGGTGTGGAAGGATGTCCTTGAACTGAGTTGCGGAAGTTAAGAAGACCTAGTTAAACGCATATCTCGTGTTTAAGAAAATTGAGATAAAATGAGAAAAGTAGTTATAACTACAACAACTTTTTTCTTTTTACTTCGCCTTAATCCTCTTTTGAATACAACATTTTGCTGACGTCTTATTTACATATTATTTCAGATAATTTTAAGCCTTATTTAACTTAAATACAGTATGATACTTTCTAACGGCTAAAACAAAGAGTCACATGGTAAAAATGACACTGGATCCCTCTTAATACATCATAGTATGATTGATACGTTAACAATAACAAATATACTTCCCAGCAACGCGGTTAATGTTGTTTTAATGATTTTAAAAAAATCAACTACTGAGCGGTTCCTTTTCTACGCAATGTGTAAACAGCGAAATTCCACAGCCGCTTAGACATTCATTTGAGTTTTATATACCAGCATATGTATATATTTATATATATAATCAGCTACGTTTAAAATACTAAGAGTAAGTTCCGAGCATACTTTATTTTAAAGAGTTGAAAACATCATACTTGTCAGGCAGTTATAAGTATTGAATCCTAACTCACCCGAACAGGCCGAAGAAAGTGACCATAAAATTGTTTGCCGTGGGGATTGCAGACATGTGAACTGAAGGTATGGGAAGGCAAAAGATATACATAGGACAGTCAGCGGCTAATGGTGTTTTGGGATGAGATCGTTTCATTAAATGGTATTGCGTTGCTCAAAGTATGGTGATTAAAACATGTATTATCTTTTGTTTATGCACAGACTTGTCAAAACCTGGATGAGGCACAGACTCTAGATAAGGAAAAAGGTCAGTTTAAAAAAAAAGATTAGTTCTTTGATGAAAATGTGCATATGATACTTATAAAATGTGAGTAAAAAT